TCACATTATTGATCATAAGGTATACATTTCGTGTTATCACTAAGCTTTTATTTATCCTCATCCAGCTTGCGGTTGAAATGTTGGAGAACCCTCTGTTATACCCGAAAGAGTTACCTTCCGATGGTCTCTTGTTATGGCGCTTCATCGGGGCCTCAAACATCCTCATGACAAATGGTGACCGGTGGAAGAAACATTCTAGGGTCATCCGAGACGCATTCAATCTCTCTATCCCTGTGGACCAGTTCACACACCTGTCCAAGAATCTTTTTGACGTCATTAACCCGCCCTCGGATAAGAACGACACCCATACTGTCGACTTTGCCGACCTCGCGCAGCGTTTTGCTCTCGATGCAGTTGGGTCTTCAGTCCTTGGGCATGACTTTGATGCCATTCACACCGAGTCTTTGTTCGTCAAAGAGTACAATGGCATTATGCGCGATATTGCCAATCCCTTTTACCTGCTCATGCCCTTCCTCGAGAAGGTCTTCCCTCGCAGGAAAGTCATCAAGCGCATGGACGACTTGGTCGACAAATTTCAAATGCTGCTTCAAGCAAAACGCACCGACCCTGGAGATGACATGATGACATTCATGCTTAAAGAACCTACAATGTCCGAGGACGAGCTTCGTGATAATATGGTCGTCCTCTTCATAGCTGGCCATGTAAGTCAAATGCGCTGCATTCGATAGCATACATTAATCACAGCACATATGTTAGGATACTTCTGCGGGGGGTCTCTCCACTCTGATTTACTTCTTTGCGATTCATCCAGAAATTCAAGCCGCGGCGCGCGAAGAAACTCTTCGCATTCTTGGACCTACTTCTGATCCCAGTGTTGATACCCTCTCCGCTGGGTCGTTGCCTTATCTCAACGCCTGCATCCGCGAAGCTCTTCGTATCAACACTCCAATCTCATATATCGTCCCTCGTATCACTGCGGAAGATGCCACCCTTGGAAAGTACTACATTCCATTCAACACTTCACTCATTTACAACATCTACGCCCTCCATCACCGCAATGACGTCTGGGGTGACCCTAACGTTTTCAGGCCCAGCCGCTTCCTCGAGATGACCCAGGGAAGCTCGAGTCTCAAGGATGCTTGGGTTGCTTTCGCCTCTGGACCTCGGCAGTGCCCTGCTCGTAACTTTGCGCTCTACGAGCAGCGTGCCCTAACCGTGATGTTGCTACGGGAGTACGAGTGGACATTACCGGCAGATTCAATCCATCAGGATGGTTTGAAGAATGCCTTCTCCCCCTTTGCCCTAACGCTCCCCCACGACCTTCATATCACTTTCACAAAGCGCAAATAGTAAAGGATGACGCTCCTCATGATCATTTATGTCATTAGTTTTTTTTTCCATCAGTCATTAGTTTCGCCACATGTCGCCTAAGGTGCTTGTTTAAGATTAGGGATAACGTTTGATTATAACTGCATTCAATTCAATACAACCTGATGCAGGCTGTTTGAATGATTTTAGTTTGTTGTCGTAATACGTCATTTTGCAAATATTACACATGTAGCTATGTTCCATCGATTCATCGACTGTTGAGTCAACGGTATTTGGTGTTCAGTATAAATATTACCGGGGCCCAGTAGTCTAGCTAAAAATGATACAGATACTCAGATACGTATAATAAGTGTTGTTCAATAAACGAGATACCACGTCCTTGCATGTGCGACCCGCGCATCAAACGATAAGCCCACTCCTTCGTGCTTTGGCTTCCTTCCTTTTTCTGGCCCATTCCTGTTCTTTCGGAGGAGGATCAATGGCTCTCCAGTCCCCCCACATGCCCGTCTTAAAGATGGCTCTGATATTCGGAACGAGCAGCAGAGCAACGGCCAGCCAGTCACTAAGCATATGGAATATGTAGAACGTTGCCTTTTCTAAAGGAGTGTTACCTGATCCAGGTGCCATCGATGTAAGGGAGATTGTCCGGTGATACATGAACAACAGTCGGAAAATCGCAGAGGATGCCTGTACATCGGGGGAAACTTATTATGTAAACGAACAGAGCGGAAAACGCGGATCCTTACGTTGCAAGCGAGGATGGCAAGAAGTAGGGTAACGTGAATCGGCTCCACTTTGGGTAGCTTTCGGGCGCGAACGACCAGGGCTGCCACGAAAAGTATGAGGAAGAGAGCGATGGCGGAACTTATATATCTAGACAAAGATGTTTATGTAAGATGGAGCTTCGCGGGTGAAGATCTGATGCACCTGGTGATCATCACCTCGTTGGCTGTGCTCTCATTATCCATTCCACCACGGTAATGCGCGTTACCAATTATACCTGGGATAGTAGCAGCGAGGAAGCCCAAATTCAACATATCGGTAACCCAGCGATAGAAACCCCGTTTTTTTGGGTCGTCATGTATGTCATCCGAAAGATGAAGCGAAGCACTGTGAAACGGGGAAAGAGGATGCATAGAGGATGACATCGAAGCAGCGACGGGTGAATCTTGCGGATCCGTAAAACTTGCTTGACCCTTGGTAGAGTTTACATACATGCAGCGCAGAAGAGCCACGACGTCGTGTGCTATGGAGATATATGGTAAAGCGATCGAGACTTGCATATAAGTCGTCAATGCCGGGGATATCCTTTCCACTGGACTGCAGGATTGCCAGGCTCGTAGGGAGAAGATTATGGTTCTGGGGAGGCAACATGAGGCAACTTGCATAAAGGTAGGAGGGAGCTGTTTTTACCTTTCTATGGCTGTAATGATTGCGTTAATGCTCACGATGACTCGCGAATGCTTGTTATATAGCCGCACAACGAAGATGGGTATGAGCGAAAAATACAATGAGGAGAAAAGGATCGATGTCCAAAAGTCAGAAGTCATTGGAACACCACCAACTGGTGATGGGAATGGATTGTCGCTTGACATCACCCATTGCAGACTCGGAGGACGGGGCGAGCTTTGGAAAAAAGTAGAGGTCACAAACAGGCCGAAAAGAACGACAACAGAAAGGATAGCCATTCTGAACCTGCGCATTCAAGAGAAGAATCAGCGCATCCAGCCTGAATATACATACTTGAAGCTGCGCAGCATGTGGATGTCGCGAGTCTGAAAGGCCTGCTTCAACGAGGCCAAGATGCAGTGAACTTATACACCTGCCAAATTTGGGATGGCATCAGAAGAATTGGAAATTGGTGAATCGTCAGGGTCACCGGGTCTGGGCACCCCTCGGCAGACTCGGCAAATTCCAGCGGAGCCAGCCACTAGATAAACATTTTGAATTGGCTGACTGTATGCTGCTGATGTAACTGAGGTATCCGTGAATGTGACTGATCAAAAATGTCGCAAATGTATCTGGGCAAATAAAACACGCGCAGAACCATTAGCTTCGTAATTTGCTTGTAGCATCCCCCAGATTTGTCTCGAGGAAGGATATCCCGACTCTTTGCTGGCAAGCTGCCACCTCGCTACTTCTATGACCGCCTATTGCTACCGGAGATGGTGTCAATAGTATCCTCCATTTAGACACCACTCGGTCTGAGCTTTCCAGAATTTCCAAATAACCTGCTCATTCCCCTTCCCACCCACATCTTCTCCTTGGAGATATTCAGTGAGATGTAATGAGGACAAAGCTAGTGTAGCTCAGGCTGTATAATATCATATTCAAGAGGCTGGTACGACGGAGCAAGGTACTAAGATCGAGAAATAGCATGGTGATCGTATACTGGATAGTGCCCGGGTAGAATTGACCCGTGCGTGGTGTTGTGCAGCGCCTGGCGGTGGCAGGAGCGGGGTGTGCATGTGACCGGCGGGGTGCTCGGGTGGCGCCTGCATATCTTCAAACTCCACGAGAATATCGCCACTTGTACCCAAACTTTTATCCAGCCCGGCCATTTTAGAGACGCCCTCGGAAATTGCGACACTCTCCGGATAGAGTTGCACGAGGATAGATGGCAGAAAATCTCAACCGGACTGTCAGAGCTTGGTCCAAAGTACTGGACGGGTGCCATTGTGCCGGTGGTATCGAGAACAGTTGGGATGAACGATAGCTTGAACAGCGTTAAGTTCTTCTCAGAGTATTCGGCCAAGAATCCTGACTTGATCCTGACAGTCACCAAATCCAGGATGGTGACCGGTGACCGGTCACGCGCACGAATCAGGCCTAGGATTCAGGACGTCTCGTTTAATGCCTCTACAGCCCTCAGGCCTCATGGTGGAAGCTCGGGTCTTCCCGATACTTCGATATCTCAGCCTAATGGTTTTGACAAAGACGTACGACTACCGTTTCTTACCTGGTGCACACAAACCCTACCTCAGTACTAGTGGCATTCCCACAGCAATTCAACGGACCCACACGACAATGATGAAAGGCGACATTCCTACGATATGATCGCTCACCTATCTCGAGATGACGAAATGATCCTTGTCGGACGTGATTCGTGAAAGCTTATGACTCAGAACAAACTTATCCTTCTTTAGAACGAACTTATCCTTCTTCAACCCTGATAAAATAACGATTTCTTTGTCGTACTTGTATGGCCTCGGCGACAATACGTGGCTATCGATTTTCTGGGTCAGTACACAAATATCGACACAAACTTGAACATTCTCTTTGATTTTCACGTCCACAGTGACTCCACACAGATGTAATTGTCCCTCCATGCAAAAAAATGGAATTGTGTATCATTTTTGTTTCAAAATCGACTGTTGTTTTCAACTTCAACCCATCTTTGTGAATACACTGGCACTCTCATGGAACGATATGTAAGAATTCTGTATCCTCTACGCGCCGACCAAGACTTCATAGCACGACCACGTGACTCAACCGATGCCAAGAGCGCTACTCTTCGCATCCGAGCCTGAGTTAAGTTACGTGGATACATCCCCCTTCGTACTTTTTACTCTTTATCGATCCCCGTACCTTCACCGATATCTTCGACTTCATCACATGCTCTCGGTACCCATTCTGGACTAGTCTGCCGCTGGAAAACGTATATATTACCATCCATGTACACTCATACCTATAGCGAATCCTATACTCAGATCCCCGCTCCAAGCGAAAAGCCTCCTAGAACGTCTCCGTCTCAAACGTTTCCCTACTCGTCTCGATTATCCTTGCACTTGTCTCGTATCTAACTCGTCTCTGCTCACTTTCCCATTCGGACTCGTTTAGCAGCCTTACAAATATCTCTCCACCCTGAACAGTCACTGAAAGGTTCATAGCCACCGGAATTTGCCTCTACGGTCCCCTCGTACCATCATGACAACCAATCCGCGTATCATTTTCAACGAAATACCTCATGGCCTGCCAAATCCTAGAACAAGTTTGATCGTCGACAATACACTGACTATTGATCTTGATAATGTACCACTTCAAGGAGGTATCCTCGTTAAGGCACTTGCCTTCAGTCTTGACCCCTATATGCGCAATCGCATGCGACCCGTTGACATCCAAGGAGACATTGATGCATTCCCCCTTGGCGAAACGTAAGCCAACTTGAAAACATCAGAATTCGACGGATACTGGATGGTTTCACAGAATCAATGGTTTCAGCGTTGCTGTGGTCTTGCGAAGTGAGACGCCCTTGATTCAAGCCGGACAACACGTATACGGATTCTTGCGTGCGTATACCCCTGATAAGGTTTGCGGCACCTATTCTTGATTATGTTATTGTAGACTATCAACGCTACAGCGTCATCCCATCAATAGACGCTGCCGTGCTAGGTCTGAAGGGTTTGAGTCTACAAGTCCTTGACAACAAGTACAACCTCCCATGGCGATATTATGTTGGAGCCCTTGGAATGAGTGGACAGACAGCATATTATGGACTCAAGGACATTAGCAACCCCAAGCCGGGTGAAACACTTTATATATCTGCAGCGTGTGGTGCTGTAGGCCAGTACGTGTCATCCTATCCTCTGTTGTTGCTTTACTTGAACATTTTGTAGTCTGGTGGTTCAGCTTGCCAAGGCCCAAGGACTGAAAGTCATCGCATCTTGTGGTAGCGACCAGAAGGTCTCGTTGGTGAAATCACTCGGAGCCGATCATGTCTTCAACTACAAAACTGCGGATACCGCTGCAGAGCTCCATGCACATGGCCCGATTGACATATACTTTGACCTTGTCGGTGGTCCGACACTCGAAGCTGCCATAGATAATTTAGCCTGCAACGCCAGAATCATCATCTGCGGGATGATCAGTCAATACAACTCGGGCGCGGACAAGGCGTATGGCGTTCGAGTGAGCACGTTTCCTCTTGGATATTTTAACACCTAACAGCGGAAATAGAACCTGTGGTTATTGAACAGGTACCGAGCGAGGTAAGCTGTTCTAATGAATGGACTCTTTGCCCACGGTTCTCAATTTTCATTCACAACGCAGGATGCAGGGTTTGGTTGTGATCGACTGGGCAGATAAGTATCTGGATGAATTCCACGATACTGTCCCACGAGATTTGGCTGCTGGAAAATTGAAATATCTGGAACATGTGTATCATGGTATGGACAAGGTCGGTGAGGCACTTGTTGATTTACTAGTTGGAAACAATGTCGGAAAATCTGTGCTGGTTCTCGAAGATGACACATAGTGATAGACGCTACACATGATGTGCGTTGTACCTGACGATCATATCCCTCGTTGTTTAACATCTGTATAATATGATATTCACAAACTTGACTTAGAGCTTGAGTAGAGGCAACATTTCGATTGCATTACTCGTCGTTACAGGACAAACTATGGGGAATTATAAGTACACATTTGAATAAGCATAACGGGTGAGTCCATCCGAATGGTAAGTAGCATGTGGGGTCAAAGATTACATCATCCTTTCATATCGATCGCTCAGAATATTTCTTGAAAAACATCACAATTCATGAACTACCTCCTCGAACGCCTGTCACGGTAGTGTCCAAATATTCCACATGCCGCGGTGCAGGAGCCTAGAAGCAGCGCAACTAGCGCGCCAAGCGCAAGCCAGTTCGCATTTCCCCAATTCGCGTTGATTCCTTCGCTTCTCAAGCGATTTCTGACGGTACCGAATAAAGACATGCTGATGATCCATGCAACCAAAGTGCACAGTGTCGCAAGTCCAGCGAGTAAAGTCATAAAGACGGTACCGGCCCTATGATATCCTGCACCACACACTCCGAAGAGGAATGCAAGACCGGAAAGACCAGCGGCAATTGGGTAAAGGATGAGAACGAAGGTGAGACTGTGAAGAATTCCTGTGTTGATGTCTCCCGGTAGAGGGAAGTAGTAACCAACTTGAACTTTGGAGCCCGTATAACCGAATACACCAAAGGCGTATCGGTCGGCATTAAGAAAGGATATGCTGTTCCACGTTGGTGATGATACAGAAACCTGTCAACGACAAACACTGTCAAAAACATGATAACGATGATAAGATTAGATGTAGGAACGTACAAAAATGAGGAGAAGCATTGCTGAAAAGCAGAAAAAGAGACCGGGAAGCGCGCCTGTTGCTGCCATTGTGATGGTCTAACGGAGAGAGGATGAATAGAACTTTATGTGCGATGAAAGCGACCTTTATCGGCTTTCAAGTCCAGCTGCGCGCGCTGCGGGTCACACTGGCATATGCCAAGCTCGCATGACGTTAACCAGTGCAAACAGGAAATATGATGTCATCCCTCCATATCATTCAACGTGCACGTGAGCAAACTTGCACAGCATTAAATTATCGGAGACGAAACATTTTCCGAGCTACTGCACCTACTATAGCTAGACTCCGCACGTCCGCGCCAATAAATATTGTCACAGCCCCACAGCTCCACAGTTCCTCAAGCTCTTACTCCTCCGTGCCTTGGAGCGGGCGATGCGAATTAGAGTATCTTGACACTTTAGGAATCAACAATATAAGGGCTATGACCACCACACGTATCGGAGGCCATAGTGATCATGATCGTGTGCGTAATTCCGTTGAAATTAATTGCTTGACTATTTACATCAAGTTCAGATTACTTGAGATGCCAGCCCGAATGCACTCCATGTATCTTGATGTTGAGCAGCTTGGACTAAACCGTAGTTGGTCGGGTATCGGGTGCAGTGCGCTTTAAAGGTATGCCGAGCTGTCTTGTCAAGTGAGACAGTTGAAGGAGGAAGCCACTTGTTCTTTTTAGCGTCTCTTTACACATCCTGGCGTCCCATGTATCCGAGTCAGCGTGCTGATCGTCATTTTCAGTCATTTCTATCGCGTATCCATTGCTCACAAGCTACGAGCTCTCGAGAAATAACGAGCAGGGCGCGCCACGCATTCATTGAGCTGGCCTGTGGCAACTGTGCTGGACCATCGGTTGGTCGTTGCATATTCTACCTTTGTGGTACAAATGAGGCGACGTCAATGCCATTGATGTGATTATAAGTGGGCAATGAAAGCATCCACTAGAGCATCCACACTTGTATCGTTTTCGACTTTGTGGTTGTGGATAGATGACATGGTGCGTCCACAGTAGTACAACCTATATATATTGAATTGCAGACATTCTCCACCGCCAGACAGACTACTACCTCACATTCCTTGCAACTTTACATCCCTTTCCCCCATGTCGATCATGAATCCGTTCAAGAAAATGTTCCAAAAGTGAGTCGACCGTTTTCAGGTTCCACTCATTGTAATCAATACCCCTCAGGTCCAACGACGACAAGGCGGCATCGCTTAAGCACTCCAAATCAATGCCATACCTCCTTTCTTTAGAAGGGAGGACGTGTGAGCATCGTGTTGATCCCAAACCCGTATACCGTGGCAAGACCCCCCTTAAAAAGTCCGACATCGTATACATCGAGCAAGCTCCAGGGATACTCGAGATCTATCATGGCAAACTGTCGCAACATACCTACTACCATGAACCAACTCGCACGGACTTAAACACGCGTGGGGACTTGCTGGCCAAGTTTCCCCATTCCTCTGAACCAGTCGAGGGGCTCCCTCGTAGCGGTTTCAGAACGATTTCTTTGAACTCAAAGGCTATTGGGCCCCAAGTGCCTGTCCGTAATTCCCGTACAAGTAGCCAGCAAGCCAGCCCCTCCATTCCCCGCAGAACGCAGAGGCTTGAGGCCACCGTTGATCAAGCTTCGGCAGATATACTGCAGATTCCTGACAAAAATACTCGCAGTGGCAGACTAGCAGAACGTATTCCCGCTAAGTCGAGCACTGGTCGCTCGTACACCCCTGTTCCTACCACCCACTCTCCACGTCCAGTACTCTCGTGCTCTGCACATAGCTCACGCGTACACATTCCTCATGTCCCATCCCATATCGCCATACCAGTGCCTGCTGTGCCAGACCATGGACATCCTTCCCGGCCTCACAGAAACTACCATGAATTTTATGGGCAGCAGGACCCAGAGGTCATCCTTGGAATGATCAATAAATATCCTATAGCGCCTCTTCGCAGCGAACGTACTCCAGAGCACCTGCGCCCGATTCGTTTCGATATCGTCGATCCGCACTACTTCCAGGAGGAATTTATGAAGAACATAGAGACGGCCGTTGCCCAAGGTCGTCCTCTCGATGTACTCGCGGGTGGCCATCGCCGCCGCATCGTTGACGCGGTCGACCCAATGTGTATCGTTCCGGAGACTAGCAGGGATCTTGTACATCGGTGAACTTGCGAAGACGGAGGTAGTTTGCGCAGAAAGGGATTTGGTGCTGTTCTACTTCTTCGTATATGTTATGTATGTTCGTATGCATATGATTTATGAAATAAAAATTATGCACCATTCGAAGGAAGTCATCGTCTGATTAACGCACATACGCTTTTACTTAGATGGTAATTTTCAAGTGCAGTCGGTTTATCACATCCGGCAGAAACATCAAAGAAGTATTCTTGTCATTCTTGTATCACCAGATACGCTTCACCATTGTAAAGCGAGTCAACTCTTCAAGGGGCACCCGCTTCTTGTCACCGCCGCCGCCTTGTCCATTACCACCACGCATGCGCCCCTCACCCATCTCACCTACTCGTACAGCGTCGTCTCTCCAATCGTCCACCATCTTCTTGAGCTGCTTGTTATACTCGCGCTCCTCCTTACCTTCCCCTATAGGATCTCGCCCAAAGTCGTTGATGGTGTCCGCAGCAGCGCGAGCCTCCATGCCTGCTCGACGACGCGTCGCATATGAGATAAGATTTACACCAAGGAGAACTTTTAAAGCGAGAAAACTAGACAGAGTCAGCTTTCATGAAACTATGACAACAAAAGAAATCCTACCATAACCAAAATGCCACCCCCATCACGGCCCACTTGAGTAAATGTACGACCTCGGCATTTGACATATCCATGAGAGCATCCCAGCCCCATTCATCTTCAAAGCGAAGAGAAAATACGAGAGTTAATGACTGAAGACCAACTAGAATAATGACAACTGCAAGCGGAAGGGAGGCAAAGCCAAGTCGGCGGGCCACTAATGGTGATTGGTCAACATAGCTATGCTGCATTCGGTCAATGAATGCATTTACGAGTCAAAGCCAAACGCCAGACCTTTCGAGCACCCAGGCGCCCTATAGCACTCCCACTAGCCAAATCACGACAGAGCACATCTGTATATCGTTCATATACAGATGGTCGTATGTGATTAAATTTAGAGATGAATGCGTGTTTCAGCCAGTCCACGAGGATCTCAGATGCCATCACAGTCACAACAGGCTGATCGAGCTTCGTAAGCGGGGTTGGGTGCAGTATCTCAATAACCTACGTAGGATATGGTCCATAAGATATTATTGCCCATGAACCAACCAAAGCTCATTGGAAGGGCAAATCCACCTGTAAAGTCGAACTCAGATCCACTCAGCTCGATTAAATTGCGAAATGCAACAATGAGAAGCATGAGTGAGAGCGTAAACCGTTCCACGATATCCGCGCATGTGATCTGAAAGAGGTTGTCTTTCTCAAATTTCTTGAAGACACTTCCTTTGATCTCGACGAACTGATTCGAGACGAGAAGAGTTAGGAGTGCGTGGTCATATGCATTGACGGCCACATTGAGAGATAGCAACTGGTAAATCATCACTAATGAGTGGCAAACTAAAACAATGTTAATGGCGCGATATAAAGGCCTGTTGACAAATACTGACCCATGTAGAGAGTAGCTAGCCCAAAAAACACGAATGGGCGAAGCGTGTTAGACGTAACCGGCACTCGACGAGAAAGTACCTCGAGCGTCGAACGGGAAAATAGGCAGTCAAGGATATCCTGCCCTATCGATGCGCACAAGCGGTCAGCGATCTAGAACAGTGGAAGTCTGGTCATGTGCACCGGTTGAACCGAGGTATAAACGAACGTACCTCTAATGCATTAAATATTACATATAGTTTGATAGTGTCTTGTCCGCGTATGGAGTGATAGATCTTACTGGCATCCGTGAGCGGAATCAACACCATGATGGAGACCACAAGCAGCATCATGCGAATGATGTCAGCTTTCTGTGATGGTGGGAGAGGCAATTTGGAGACTTTGAAAAAATTCAGGAAACATCGGATGGTCGCCAGTGCAAACCTGATGGGTAGTATCGTAAAAGTATAGAGGAATGAGTCTAAACAAAGTATGAAGCCAAAACCAATAATCTACGCCTCATGAGCACCGCATGTCACTCGCATGGATCTCTACGCACCTTTTCCATTGCCAGAGGAATACTCAAGAAATTGCTCACCCTCTCCCACTTCAACTCCTGGTGCGAGTCAAAGTCAGTCGCGAGAAGCTCTTCCCATAGGTAGTCCCATAAAGAAAATAAAGGCTGGTCTTTCGGGAGCTCTTGACTCCGGGCTATCGGAGGTGGAGAGGCAGGCGGAGACGGCAATATAGGAGTTGTAGGGAGTGATGCATATGTCAATGGATGGACTTCGAGTTCGGGTTCAAGCATCCTCTCGCATTCAAGGTCCTGTTCACCGAGTGGTGCATTTATCGTTTTCTCTCCCTTTACGTCTGAACCGCGAATAACATCATCATCAAAGTCGACGGATGAGGACCTTCTGCGGCGACCTCGCGAAACTGGTGTGGAAAGTGGTGAAAACTGCGCATTCCATGTCGCACCAATGGATGCGGAAGAGAAGCGTCTTCTTGAGCGTCGCGGAGAGGTAGCCATATGCCGCAAATATTATTCTAATTATTTGAATTGAAGTGAAAACTACGACCTGGAGTTCATAGTAGTGAGAGGGCAAAGGTTCAGAATCACGTTAGCTATGCCATCAATACGTCTTGATATGGACATTATGTCATCAGATTATCAGGATGATGATGTGGTTTTTTGGAATCAAAACTGCAGATACTATCACACAAGCATGCAAAGCACACCAGAAATATTCTCTGCCGCGATGGAGGAGAAATTTGGCGTGGATCGTCCTGAGACTCACTCCGATCGATCTCAGGATAGGCCTGGTGGTGGTACGTCTAGCAAACCTGAATCTGACTGTTTGACTGTTTTCTAACACAGGTACCATAGTCCTTTCCATCCCTTCCGAACTCATACATCACATACTCAAATACCTGGGGAATAAGGACCTGGTGAACACGGCAATCATATCCCAAAGCTTCCGGTTCATTTCCCAGCGCGTGATTTACAGGAACGTCGAACCTGCCGAGGACATGATCATACCATGCCTCAGATGTTTTGCATCGTACCCGCATCTTGCATCCTGTGCTCGTACTCTGATCTTGGCTGATGCTACTCGACATTATGACGTTTTCTTCAATTACTTCAACCTGCTGCGTCGTGCCTTGCTAAACGCGTCTTCGCTCACCGATCTTACAATTCTCCTCGACGGCCCTTACGCAAAATATTTGCATGGATGTTCATTTCGACTTCGTTCTCTCACTACAACACTCGACTGGGATAAGGACTTCATCAAATTAATTACAGAGCAGACGGAACTGCGCAATGCCATGTTCGGCGGAAAATTCGTGAATGACATGGTTCTGCCTAGCGACACTCTCACAAAGCTTACAAGGGTCTCTGCATCTCCTCTGGTACTGGCTGCAGTAGTTCCAAATCGAAAAATTAAGGAAGTGGAACTCTGTTTGCTGCATCAAGCGCTTTTCAAAGACGATATCCTCAATACTGCATCGAACATCCTTTCCTATTCTACCGGCCCATTGACCGCACTGCAGGTCATCACCCGTCTAAGCGACACAACAAGTGCACTTGCAGCATTCAAAGCGATTGCAAAGAATCTACCAAAACTGAATTCGTTTGCCTTTTACTCGAGTGATGGAGTAGTCTCGCAGGTGCGCCATCTTCTACTTACATACAACATTTGCTCCAAGCATCTACAGGAACTTCTCGAAGCCTTTCCTGAATTCCTCTCTGGCTTCGAATGCCTCAGGTCGTTGACCCTGATGTCGCGAAATAAAGCCGATGCACTACACGACACAACTTTGACGGCTACCCTCGCGTCAAGGTGGCACGCATCATGTCCCTCTTTGCAAAGCGTTTCACTCGCGGGATCTATATGGCTGCATAACACTCGGCATGGTTGGGTGACGTTAGCAGATCTTGAGCGTCTCCTGCGAGAACGTAAGTGGCTGCTTCTGTCCCGTCAGGAGTACTGGACAGGTGCGGATCCAGGAACGATTTCGCTGGAAGAGGTGAAGAACAACATAGATGAGGTCGATGAAGATACAGAGCAGGGAAATCAGATGGAGCGGCAGATGATCATGCTTCGTGATAGTATCCTCCAGTTTGGTGGTCCTTGATAGGCGAGATCTCTTATGCTACGTATACGTTCTGACGGGACATGCTGTAATTGTAGGATAACCAATCAAGTCCAAGTGAGGTATGCCTTTTATTGTACTAAGTTGAACAAAATGTCGATATCTGTAATGTCGTCTCATCTAATTCACCCTGTTCACTTGCATACAGACTAAAGAGTACACGGGATGCCAACATACTGTGGAGGACAAGTTGTGGCCTGCCACAACGGATCAGTGATTTTATTAGACCACGTTAAACGAATTGCCACGCACAAGTCCAGCATCTCGTTATATGATTGCTGCCAAAAATTAGCAAAATTTGTCAAACGAGTAGATGCACCATGCAACCTACCGGCACCAGAACTGTAATGAGTGTATTGGCCACAGAAACAGCTGGGAGAAAGGCTTCAGCACAAGACATATTGAATTGAACAAAAGGTCACCGCACAGATGATGGGAGCCAGATACCATACTCCGCCCTGGAAGACTACTCTCACCAGACGACTGGTATAATCTCTGTAGTCTTTATATCTTTTGAACACCATTAAAGACAACAGCACTAGGTGAATGGGGATGAAAAGTTGTGCTGCGATGGAATGGAAACGAGATATCCTTACATATTTCGTAGGCCGCGAGAAAGCCATATTGAATGGCACTGCTCTGACCCGCTTGAAAAGTGCAGTTGCTTGTGGGGGGAGCTTGAAAAGCATATTTGTCGTCTACAACAAGGAAAGAAAAATAATGCAAACCCACCCGAAGGGTTTGCGGGCACCGCTAGTAGGCCACCGACAAAATCTGTGAGACCGACACCACACGCAATGCAAATCTACATTGTGATATCAACAGACGATGGGTGTGAGCATGCATGACCAGACCAACGTACTACTGCCAATACTAGCAACACTGCCAAGAGCTTGTTGTTCTTCCTCCAGAACGCATATGTACGAATGATCAAAAGACCTATATAAAAAAGAGATAAGTTTCAGGCCCAGAAAACACTACATATATGGAGCGAACCTTCACCAGCTATAATACTGATGATATGAATTGCTGCAGTAAAATTCAGTGAAAAGATGCTGAATATTCAGGATATTTATCACCATTTGAAGCCCTGCTGAAGTTTGTGCACTGTATTCGTCGTCCTTCAGTTCATACAGCAACCAAATAAATAAAACACACTGACATTCTCGTTCGCTCGTGTAGCAATGGCAGCTAGTCACTTGTCAATGTTGCGTACCAGTGGATACGGGTAGCTGCTTACCATATGTAGTCATGCCAGCTGCTGCAAAGGCCATGTAGCGTGAAATTACAAAAAGAATACGAGTGATGTTCCAGCGCCTGTTCCATGTCCATCGAATCTTGTAACATTTGTCAAGAGATGTTTGAACTGTATGAAGCCTGAGAAATACTGACCTCAGGTTCGAGCGTTAAGAAATAGTCAAAAATCTACGGAGTATAAGAGGGGATATCGTCCATGACTTGTAGACCTACCAAAACTCCTAGACCGGCCACTGCATATATTCAGGATGAGAATGGTGTAATCTAACCCCTGTATGAAATCCACGTACCATTGCAATACTAGAGTAATTGCAGTCAATAGACTTGATCTAGAAATATATTGGGGAATTCTTACCTTCGACGTCTGAATTCCTGTATTGACTATGGGTGCGGCCATCGCACGCTCGCGCTATGTGGATAAAGTTACAGGACTCGTTCTTTTATACGCTTACATGATTTTAGTTTGATCCAACTCATTCGCTGTGCCAAATTCCAATCAAATGCACAGCTGCAGGTGATCAAAACAAATTATAGAACGTGAAACTGATGTGGTGGCACGGTGGCCTAGTAGGTTACGTGAGTCGCAACTCATATCACGAAAAGTAACGGATAGTCACACTAGTATATACTAGCAGTCCGAAACACGATCTCCACCATTTCTCAACCGATTTGTTTGGTTTCACTTGAAACATACTAGTATCATACTCAAAGAAGGGTTTCATCCGTGTAACAAACTGATGAACATCATTGATAATTCACATTGTAGTCTACGTGGATAGCACGTTCATATCATATCGACATTGATTTTGCAACCCAAAGATCATCATTGATAGTTCACATCGTAGTCCATGTAGATAACCGAAAGTACTTGTCCGTCCCGCCGTGTCCCAATTCAAGAACGACGGTCAAACCGCGCAAGCAGGGAACATGGCAACGGGCAAAGGTCATCATACCATCATAACACGACGAGTAGCCCAGTCTCATGAATTGCTTCGCAGACGCAGTGTTCTTCACGAAAGGTGAGCCTGCCACGCACTTGCAGAATGTTGGTTAGTTCTTCTCATCGGCTTGGCACTTGATCTCGCCATCTGCCTGTGCTTTCCAATCAGATGTGCCTCTGTAACCAAGATCGGAATAGCGGGAGTATGACCATATATCTCTATCTGGCTTCCTCTATCGTTGAAGTGTGTACCATGACATGGCAACATCATGATGCTGCAGCTCATGCCTCGATGAAGACATGCAATCGTATGCATCATGAACTGTATATTTTAGAGTCGAGTTCTAAATGCGTGGCCTCGTTCATGAACGTGATAGCATTTCGCCATGCTAAGGAGTCGACCGAGGCTGTGCGAGAGAGCGTGAGATCCTGTCGGCCACTGAAAGTAGTCGCGTAGGATGGTTTTAAAAGAGATTGTTTGAGGTCATTGCAAAGAAAATGTGATACGTGGAATATGTACTGCAGTGGTCTTCGACGAATCGACTCCGTATTCGTGCATTTCTCGCCAATCCTTTTATGTCGAGAGGTTGCGTTGTATGGCGCAGATGCAGTTTATTTTGAGATTCATTCGACGGGGGCCGGAGGCAGTACGCGGTAAGCTTATCGCTGAGTACAGCCTAATGTGAATCCGTGAGGACGGACGGTCCTGAAATTCCAAATATGATACTTATAAGTTATGTAAAAATAAATTTTAATTTTCTGAAAAAGGTGCGAATTTACGGTCCAAGAACTTCCATCATGATACTTCAGCTCGGTCACGTTCGATGGTGTCGCAGTAGGTACTGTCCTAGAACCAGACTGTCATTGGTCAGGTTCAAACCACATTCAGACACTGGGCAGTATCAGCCATTGCGTCCAGCACGTTATCCGAATTGTACGGACATGTTTCAGTCGGTGTTTTGTCGAGCAACTGTTGGCGAATTGTTTCCAGGCCTAAGGGTGTGCTTGAGAACCTTGTTGTGTTGTTTGTTGGGTGGCCTGGGACTCACATAGGTGTAGCTTTCCAAATATGCTGATCTCCCATTTCAAGTTGCAGGTCCTAGCTGAAAAGTTGTTAATGAATGTATGCATGTGACTTTTTTCAAACCGTTCTAACTTCAACATCCTAAAGCGATGTTACACGGTTCAGCCAAGCTTGGCAAGTATCACTGCCGAGTACTGCCAGGCTTTTTCGATGGCGACAAGATGAGTTGTCTGCATTTTTGACCAGTTCTTGTGACCATCTCGAAAGATAGGCCTGTAGAGGCATTATAAATCACTGCCAGACAAACCCTCTCATTCGACTATTTTGTGGGCTTCGCTCGCACACATAGTCAAGATCTGTGGTGGTCATCGAACACTGACCATGTCCATTGTCCTCCCAGACCAGTAAGGATCAAGAGTCGATCGGGTACAAGGTGCTATGCACCTGCCTGAATATGTCTGCGTGGGTGGTGATCTATTCACTCGATGACACAAAATTTGCGACGGGCGGCGGACACTATGAGGACGCAGCAAAATTCTGGAATGCAAAGATAACCAAGCTGCTTGCCTTCAAACACGACGCTCGGATGCATATCGCTTGCTCGATCTTATACCTTTTTCACATCTTGTGTATGTCTTATCCTTCTATGATTATCGGATCTCTCCAGATTATTCGCCGCCCACACAGAAGTCGATGTAATTTGAGCGAGAAGCAATATATATATAGAGAGCGATAGGAGACACATCACCGAGTTGCATAATCGACGATGATTTACTGCATCCCCACGGTTATAAGGATGGTTGCATCATATATGGTTTACTAACCCACTGCTTGAATCATGGTCCCTGCGGTTCATGGTCACTTTGCTATCCTCGCTGGCTTTTCTCTTTCTTTTGCCGCTGTCACGGCACTTAGGCGATTCATCAAGAAGCGACAGCATAACCCTTCTCTTCCTCCTGGCTCAGTGCCGCTCCCACTGTTGGGGAACGTCTTATCTGTCGACTCTCAGGAGCCTTGGCTGACTTCTACCGAACGGGTTGCTGCGTATGGTACGTGAACAGATAGTATAGGGTATATGTGCTGCAAATTATTACACCAGTGGACTTGGTCTTCGTGCGAATTCTAGACTAGGAAATCGTCGTGGTCAATTCTGAGCACATTGCAGAAGCCTTATTGGACAAGCGTTTTCAGATTTACTCCGATCGAATATACTTAGCCACACTCAAGCCGTGCGTTCTTTCAGTATTCTTATATTCAACCAGTTTAAGGTTCTTGCAGATATGGCTTTTCGGTCAACTTTGGATTCAGCGGTGATGGCAATGAATGGCGTCTTTGCTGACGACTCTTCCACCCAACTTTCCGTCCCGAGTCTGCAGTGAAGTTTCGCCCAATGCAGATCAGGCGGGCTCATGAGATGGTCGTCAACCTAGTTGATGGCCCTCAACATTATCATGGCCACTTTGCAGTGTCAGCAAATGGTTTTTACAAATTGAACCGCTATTTACCTGTTCGCAGATTCTTGTCTATCTGTTGTGATGCCAGCGGTATTTGACTACGATATCGGCATTTTTACAAGCAATGTTATGCTTCCGACATACACTAATATCACACAGCTTCATGTCAGCGTAAGCGGATAGCTCCACCACGTTATCCGTTGCTTATCCTCGTGACAGACTGAGGCAACTTGGATGGTCTTTGTTTTGGCTATGGTATTATATCCAGATTTCCAGAAACGCGCACAAGCGAAAATCAACTCAGTGGTTGGAAAAGATCGGTTGCCAACGTTAGAGGACAGAGCATCACTACCCTACATTGATGCAGTTTTGCGAGAGACTTTACGATGGTAGCCCATTTCACCCCTTGGTATTCTTTTCCGCCGAGTGATCTGGCCTGTACTGAAACCGATTTTATAGGCATACCACACGCTACCTCGAGTGATGACACATACGATGGCTATTTCATTCCAAAAGGTTCGCTGTTTTTGTCCTATCAACACAACGATCACTTATAATGTCGTACATAAGGCGCGATCATCATGCCAATACATGGTCCAATATGCTCTTCACAGCTTTCGTGACACTGATTCCAGGGGCATCACACGGAATGAAAAGCGGTACCCCGACGCATCTCGTTTCATACCAGAGAGGCTCATCGACGTCGATGGCGCGTTAACAAACGATGATCTCGCACAATACATTTTCGGCTTTGGCCCGTGTGTATGTTAAGTGTTTTGAACTTTGAAAAGATTCGCTCGCATATGGACTTTGATCAGGGCGGTACACTGCTGATGCCTTCGTGCGGCCTGCCATTGTGACTATGTTGGCCACATTGGATATTTCTTCTGTTAAAGATGACCAGGGCAAAGTGATTAGCTTTACTCCCACGTTCATCACGTGACTGGTTCGGTGACTTCTTCATGTCATTCCTTCCTCTCGTCACTAACAGTTTCGTTGCTTCAGCTATCCTGCGATCTTCTCTTGCAGTATCTCAGCACGGCCTCACATTAATCCAGAGCTTGCGGTGGACGGTCGGCGAACTGCCAAGTTTTGATGACAGTTTACCATCCATGGTCTGATTGGGGCACTATAGAGTAATTCATAAAGTATGTATTTCTAATGTATACCAGGTCAGCAATTGCGATGAATAGAAAGAGGCTTCCGAGTCATTCACCGGCGTGTCTAACTGTTGTGTCGAGAGTCCTGCGACGTTTCAGTGACGGCATGCCAGAATATGGCGCACTGCGTCGTCTGTATTTCATGTTGGACCCGACTCTAGCCCTGCGCTCGGGAGAGGATGAAGACCAAAGATGCTCTAGAGAGCTAAGGATGATGACGATGCTGCTACAACGTGTCGTACCTGTCTATGTGCGCTGAGACCCCTGGCACTCCTGCCCGCCTCTGCTACGTGCTGCTCATGTCCTACCGGCAACCCCCGGCACAATGTCCATGACATGCCTCAGTTCCCAATCGAACGACTGCCAGCAACAACCGTATCATTCTCAGGTATACGTACCTCGTGCAACATAAGCGCCTTACTCGTAGGTCATAGCTCCCGAAAATGGGAGATGTTTTGCATTGTACAAGCATCTTGCTTATCGTGCTGCGATGCACTACATGACAAAACTAATTTTGACAACTACCCTCGCGCCATGGTGGCACTGGAACAGGCACGGACTGCGAGGGAAATCAAGGCCAAACTTCTGTAGCGGGAGGCTACGGTTCGAGGACCGACTATGACAACATAGTATAGGACTACCGACTACGGACCAGGACTCCTGCTACTGCGCCAGGACACCTGGCGCTCCCGAGGACCTGTGCCAGACGGTGACCCTGGTACAGCACGCATCATGTCCCTCTTTGCAAAGCGTCACACTTGCAGGGTCTATATGACTGCTTAACACGCGGCATAGTTGGCAGATTATGAGCGTCTCCTGCGAGCACATCAGGGGCTCCTTCTGTCACATCAGAAGTACTGGACGGATGCGGATCCATCAACGATTTCGCTGGAAGAGGTGAAGAGCAGTCTAGATGAGGACAACGAAGATGCAGGGCAGGGAAATCAGATGACGACAGATGATCATGATTCATGACAGTCTCCTGCAGTTTGGTTGCCCTTGATAGGCGAGATCTGTTTTATACTGCGTATACGTCCTTACTGGGCATACGGCCACTGTGACTGTAGGATAATCAACCAAGTCCAAGTGAGATATGCCTTTTATTGTACTAAAGTGGACGAAATGTCGACATCTGTAATGTTGTCCCATCGATTTCCTCGTCACATTTACGCAGACTGAACAGCACACGGGACGCCAAGATACTGTGGAGGACAAGTTGTGGTCTGTTATGATGCATCAGTTTTTTTATTGAACCATCCTGAATGAATTGCCACGCACAAGTCCAGCATCTCGTTGTATGATTGCTGCCCAAAATTAGCAAATTTGTCAAATGAGTAGATGCACCATGCAACCTACCGGCACCAGAACTGTAATTAGTGCATTGGCCACAGAAACAGCTGGGAGAAACGCTTCAGCACAAGACATATTAAATTGAACAAAAGGTCACCGCACCAATGATGGGAGCCAGATACCACACTCCGCCCTGGAACACTACTCTCACCAGATGACTGTCAGAATCTCTGTAGTCCTCATATCTCTTGAACACCATTAAAGACAACAGCACTAGGTGAATTGGAATAAAAAGTTGCGCTGCGATGGAATGGAAATGAGATATCCTTACATATTTCGTAGGCCGCGAGAAAGCCATATTGAATGGCACTGCTCCGACCCGCTTGAAAAGTGCAGTTGCTTGTAGGGGGAGCTTGAAAAAGCGCATTTGTCGTCTACAATAAGGAAAGAAAAATAATGCAAACCCACCTGAAGGGTTTACGGGCACCGCTAGTAGGCCACCGACAAAATCTGTGAGACCGACACCACACGCAATGCAAATCTACATTGTGATATCAACAGACGATGAGTGTGAGCATGCATGACCAGACAAACGCACTGCTGCCAAGACCAGTAACACTGCCAAAAGCTTCTTGCTCTGTTTCCAGAAAGCATATGTACGAATAATCAGAAGACCTATGAGAGATATAAGGCCCAGAAGACACTACAAGAATGGAGCGAACCTTCAGCAGCTACAATACTGATGATATGAATTGCTGTAGTGAAATCAGTGACAAGACGCTGACTCTTGAGGATATCGATCACCATTTGAAGCCGAGCCGAAGCGCGAGCACTGTATTCGTCGTCCTTCAGTTCATACAACAACCACACAAATAAGACACACTAACATTCTCGTTCGCTCGTGTAGCAAGGACAGCTAGTCACTCGTCAATGTCATGTACCAGGAGATACGGATAGTCGCTCACCGTATGAAGTCATGGCAGCTGCTACAAAGGCCATATAGCGTGAAATTACAAAGAGAATACGAGTGACGTTCCAGCGCCTATTCCATGTCCATCGAATCTTGTAACATTCGTCAAGAGATGTTCGAACTCGACAAAGAAATGCTCACTTCAGGTTCGAGCGTTAAGAAATAATCAAAAATCTATGAAGCATAAGAGGGGATATCGTTCATGGCTTGTAGACCTACCAAAAGTCCCAGACCGGCCACTGCAAATATTCAGGATAAGAATGGTGTAAAGGCCTGCATGAAATCCACGTACCATTGAAATACTAGAGCAGTTGCAGTCAATAAACTTCATCTGGCAAATAGATTCGGGAATTCTTACCTTCGCCGTCTGGATTCCTATATTCTCTAGGGGCGCGACCATTGCACGCTCGTACTAGATAAGGTACCAGAACTCGCTCTTATATGCTTACACGATTTAATTTTGAATCTGTTTTGTAAATTTTCATTCGCTGTGCGATATCATCTATAATAAACTGCGCAGGTGATTCAATCAAAACCAGGTCCCATCCCCATCGTAAAGCTGATGGTGGCATTGGACTTGCCCATAAGGGTGAATTTGAAATTCAGCATCAGAAGGTCGAAATGTTGAAATCTCTCTCAACGGTGACACTTTGCTCTGCCCTTCGACGGTTACTACATGCGAGATGTCAATATACTGCACAACAAGCTGTGAGCTTACGGGAGCTGATTTGGTCGTCATATACTCTTACTTAGCGCATTTCAACATACATATCCACCATCATCTCACGCCTTTCAGGGCCATGGCACAGCAGAAAAATGGCACTTCAGTTACTTGCTATGAATACGGATATAGTAAACTTAATTGCTGCAGAGGACACAAGTATGTTCGATTTCAGCAGAGGGCTGGATGTTAGACATCTTCACGCACCATTCAGGAGGGTTGAAGGACAGCAGATTGTGCGCACAACGAGCGAGCACTACTCACTGCCACCAGACCAGTACATTCATATCACATCAACATTGGTTTACGACACTTGCAACTTTTCGCCTGTGTAAGCAAATATTGTTGATAATTCGTATTGTAGTCCATGTGAATACCCGAAAGTGTACATGCCGCCATGTCCTAATTCAAAAACAGCAGCCAAACTGCATGGGCAAAAGGGAAACGCACCTGCAGAATTTTGGGTAGTTCTGCTCATTGGCTCGGCATTTGATCTCGCCATGACGCTTGTGCTTCCTATTCACCAGACGGGCATTTGTGGCCGCATGACAAAAATAGGAATAGCGGGGGTAAAACAATATAATTCTGCCCGTTGTCGAAGTGTGTACCGTGATATTGCAACATCGTGACGTCACAGCTCATGCACATGCCTCCATAATATAGACACATACAATCATCGTATGCCATGAACGGCGTATTTCAGACTTGAGTTCCTTTGAACGCGTGCTCTCGTTCGTAAGCGCGATAGCATTTCGCCGTGCTAAGGAGTCGACTGATGCAGATACGATGGCTACGGGATCACGCGAGCCGATGAGGGAGGTACTGAAATCTAATGGTGTGACGCGCGTTGAGACACGTATGGATCTGTGGTCCTACCGCGAGTGAAAGCAGGAATAGGATAAAGCACGACGATTATGTTGTAACCTGCGGGGACAAGAGGAGTACATCGAAAACATTTATAAGTGATGGAGGAGGTTTGGATATGTTGTCGATACCGTGGGCCGAGAGCATTGCTGAATGTTTATTCGCATGGGCGGCGGCGACGCCACTCATCGTCTAGAGGAATGCCTGCAATTCCTGCGCGGGCGTGACGGCAATGGCGTTCACTGTAAGCTGTGGGGGTTTTGTGAATCCTAGAATTTTTTTGGGGCGTGTTTCAGGCTGCCTAGGTGTCCGCGAGGGGTCCTTCAAGTTGGTGCACGCGATGTCGGGCCTTCGTGGTGGGGTTCCGGAGTCCTGGTGGTCGAGGGTCAGGCAATTTGTCAGCCAGTTGTCTTCACGTTTTTGTATAGACACTACTATAAGTAGCTAACAAGTGTGCATCGCGCATCTTCTAGTTCACTGTGCTCCTGGCATCCAGCTGTGCTGTAACTGATGGTGACTGGTTGCAAATGATGTCGACATGTATACAACATTTCGGCATGGTTTTCCTTTTGAATTGCAAATTCACCCTTTTGCCAGCAATCAGCTACTTGTGGAATAGTTCCGGTGCTCTGCGGCATTTGCGTATTTCGCCAGTTTCACGACACAGATAAGTAAGGCCTACTAGTTTTGACTGAATCACTTGTGCAGGCTCACACCGTGTTTGAAATTCAGATCATGGAAATGTATAAGAGCAAGTTCTGCAGTTCTGGAGATTTATCTATTACGGGCCTGTAATGGTCGCTCCCACAGTTAACACAGAAATTCAGACGTCGATATCCGAATATGAATTCTATTGACTGAAACTACCCTACAAGTCATGTACGATATCTCCTCTTATGCTTTGTAGATTGTTGGCTATTTCTTAACGCTCGAACCTGGGGTGAGTATTTCTTTATGGAGTTCGAAACATCTCTTGATAATTTTGCAAGGTTCGATGGACATGGAACAGGCACTGGAACATCACTCGTGTTCTTCTTGTAATTTCATGCTATATGGCTTTTGTAGCAGCCGGCATGACTTCATGCGGTGAGCAACTACCCGTATCTCCTGGTACGTGACATTGTCCAAGTGCGGGGTAACGTAGCTCGTCGGAGCATCACGCTTCCAGCTGAGGGTTAGCACAGTTTTTCCCTTCCCTTTCTTTTTCGACCTACCGCGTTCCTTCCACTCCCTTTTACCAAGCATCACGGACCTTGGTCGCTTCAAATCACATTGTCATTAGTTAGGCAAACTCTCTTTTATGTTACGTCTGCATCCTGATGGACCATATCATGACTTGTGAGGGTCGTATATCCTCTACGCCCCGACCATGACTTCATAGAAAGATCCGGACTTAGGTCTAGCCACCCATGTGACTCGCTGATGCGAAGAAGCATCACGCTTCGCATCCGAGCTACGCGGACACATTGCTTTCCTTTTCACTTTCATTATCTCAGTGTCTTCGATAACCAGCACGGCGTTTAGTGCCTTCTTACATGATACCCTTCGTCGATATCGACCCTCAAACCCTTCCTCTCGTTACTGTTCCTCATTCTCTTCTCGCCGTACCAAAAGTTGTCAAAACCACTATGTGTAAGGAATGTTACTTCGCTAGTCACGGACACCGGCTATAGAGTTACCCGTCGTAGTACTACTTATGGGACTCCTTTTGTACTCACTTACATATAAAAACCGGTCCTTACTTTCTGTATCCTCAGTGAATTAACACCCCCTCACTCATTCTCTCATGGTCCGAATCATTCCCCGTCGAACTCAATAGCAGCACTTACATATGCGGTTCTTGTCACTCTGTCCAAAACCGAACCTTTTCGTACGCCACTCATTCAGTCTCTCGTATTTTTTTCTCGCTCTCACTAGTATACCCTGTCTGGACTCAACGCCACTTACTCTCTGCCTCCGTTTCATCTAATCATTCGGCCTATTCGTACCCGAGGACCCTTACGGTTCGCAACTATAACTAGTCCATGTACAATTGATATCTACAGCGAATTCTATACTCAGTTCCCGCTCCAAGAAACTCAGAAAGTCTCCTAGAACGTCTTTGTCTCAACGTCTCCTTATTCGTCTTATCGTTTTGCAGTTATCTCGTCTCTAAACATCTTTGCTCACATTCCCCTACGAACTCATAGCCGCCTTACAGACTATGGGATAAAATCAATCAAAGGAAGTATGCCTTTGGTCCTGCTGTCACTGAGCTGGACGAAATGTCGACATTTGTAATGTCACCAAATCCAAGGCATTCTGGTCACTTTCACGCAGACTAAACAGCACACGAGATGCCAACATACTGTGGAGGACAACTTGTGGTCTGCCACAACGCATCAGTGAATTTATTAGACCACGTTAAATGAATTGCCACGCACAAGTCCATCATCTCGCTATACGATAACTTGTCCAAATTAACAAAATTTGTCAAATGAGCGCATACAATATACAACTTACTGGCACCGCAGACGTGATCACTATGTTGACCACAGAAACGACTGCAAGAAGCGCTTCAACATGGAACATATTAAATTGAAAAAGGTCACCGCACAGATTATGGCAGTCATATACCGCACTCCGCCCTGGAAGATGGCTCTCACTAGACGACCGTTGCAATCTCTGTAGTATTCATATCTCTTGAACACCGTTAAAGACATCAGCACTAGGTGAATGGGATTGAAAAGTTGTACTGCGATGGAACGGAAACGAGACGTCCTTACATAGTTCGTAGGCCACGAGAAAGCCATATTGAATGGCACTGCCCCGATTCGTTTCAAAATTGCAGTTACTTGTGGTGGGAGCTTGAAAGGCACATTTGTCGTCTACAACAGGGAAAGAAAAAAACAATGCAAACCCACCTAAAGGGCTTGCGAGCGCGTCTAGTAGGCCACCGACAAAATCTGCGAGACCGACACCACACGCAATGCAAATCTACATTGTGATATCAATAGACGACGGGTGCGAGCATGCATGACCAGACCAACGTACTGCTGCCAAGACCAGTAACACTGCCAAAAGCTTCTTGCTCTGTTTCCAGAACGCATATGTACGAATGATCAGAAGACCTATGAGAGATGGATATAAGGCTCAGAAGACACTGCAAGAATGGAGCGAACCTTCAGCAGCTACAATACTGATGATATGAATTGCTGCAGTAAAATTCAGTGACAAGATGCTGATTATTCAGGGTATTTATCACCATTTGAAGCCCTGCTGAAGTTTGTGCACTGTATTCGTCGTCCTTCAGTTCATACAACAACCACATGACAAGACACACTAACATTCTGGTTCGCCCGTGTAGCAAGGACAGCTAGTCACTCGTCAATGTCATGTACCAGGAGATACGGATGGTCACTCACCGTATGAAGTCATGGCAGCTGCTACAAAAGCCATGTAGCGTGAAATTACAAAAAGAACACGAGCGACGTTCCAGCGCCTGTTCCATGTCCATCGAATCTTGTAACATTCGTCAAGAGATGTTCGGACTCGACAAAGAAATACTCACTTCAGGTTCGAGCGTTAAGAAATAGTCAAAAATCTACAAAGCATCAGAGGGGTTATTGTCCGTGATTTGTATATGGACCTACTAAAACTCCTAGACCGGCCACTGTATATATTCAGGATGAGAATGGTGTAAACTCCTGCATGAAGTCCACGTACCATTGAAATACTAGAGTAGTTTCAGTCAACAAACTTCATCCGGCAAATATATTGGGGAATTCTTACCTTCGCCGTCTGGATTCCTATATTCTCTCTGGGCGCGACCATTGCAAGCTCGTACTAGATAATGTTCCAGAACTTGCCCTTTATATATTTCCAAGATCTGAATTTGCATGATTTCGAAACTGTGCATTCGCCGTGTCACCGTGCGAGATCAAATTAGACTGCGCATGGTGATGGAGTCAAAACCAGTAGCAGGTCCTATCTGGGTCGTGAAACTGGCTTAATTGTAGCATGAGCAGTTGCTCGTTGGCAAAATGGTGAATTTGAAACTCAGAGAAGCAGGGATGACATCATCACATAGTTGAGTCCATCCAAAAAGAGCATGCCCGCGTTTTCGGAAACAGCCGGAGAACGCACGTACTTAGCCTGATTGAAGGTCGCATACCATCCATTAGTATGTCGGAAGTGCTCGTTGGTGGAGATAATCACCAGTATCAATGCGCCACTATTGTCTTGGCACAGATAAGTATCCTCCTGAACAGCACCGCGCAGTTAATCATTAATCATGCGTTTGACTATCATTTGATTGTGGCCCAACGTGAAATTTGAGAACTTGCGAATAATTAGAGGACGATTTCGGTAGTTGTCTTACAGCGATTCTGTGAGAGATCTGAGAGGCGGACGAAGGGTGCACACAGATTGGACAACGGACGAAGTTATATATACACGCGTATCGGAGTAGAAAATAACAAGTGATAAGTGACTTGTTATCACTCGGCTCCCGCAGCAAGGTACGAGCAGTGAAGACCTCGCTCAGCGCATGGACCTTACATAATAACTCCATTGTCTTTTTCTTGTAAATGAGGTACAGAACATTGTAACTACACTCCGTCTGGTACAGTATGTCCTGTTGAGTGTATCCTAGCTATTATTTATTGTGCAAGCCTACTGTACGCAGAGTGAGGCTTGGGCTGGCCAGAAAATTTTCCCTTCCGTTCCTTTTTTAACCTACCGTGGACGTCGAGTTCAGCACACCTCACGTATCCTCACTCGTTGTCCTTGCCGTTCCTTCCACTCCCTGTTACCAGGCATCACGGACCTTGGTCGCTTCAAATCACGTTGTCGCTAGTTAGGCAAACTCTCTTGTATGTTACGGTTACGTCTGTATTCTGATGGACCATACCATGACTATGGGATAAAATCAATCAAATGAAGTATGCCTTTGGTCCTGCTGAGCTGGACGAAATGTCGACATTTGTAATGTCGCCCAATCCAATTCATCCTGGTCACTTTCACGCAGACTGAACAGCACACGAGATGCCAATATACTGTGGAGGACAAGTTGTGGTCTGCCACAATATTAATGCATCAGTGATTTTATTAGACCACGTTAAACGAATTGCCACGCACAAGTCCAGCATCTCGTTATATGATTGCTGCCCAAAATTAGCAAAATTTGTCAAACGAGTAGATGCACCATGCAACCTACCGGCACCAGAACTGTCATTACCGTATTAGCCACAGAAACAGCTGGGAGAAGCGCTTCAGCACAAGACATAAAATTGAACAAAAAGTCACCGCACCGATGATGGGAGCCAGATA